AATTACAGACTTTGTGGATATATCACATGGACACCAATGAAATGAATAGTCATGAGTCAATACTCCTGACTAAAGACACAAATTTGTCTTTTACACCTCATTTATAAAAGTTTATTTAACATTTTTTAAAAACCAGTTCCTCATTCAAATCTAATAATTAGACTCAACTCAAGTTCCCCACTTTTACACTGGATAAACTCATTACTTATACCATCTACATAACATCTATTTATTTTTTGAATCGGGATCTATTCATGCGACAAAATAAATCAAATATAGATTCAATATATCGTCTTCAACATCATTAAGATCTCTTGAAATGACTGAGTATCCATTACAAGTCTATTATGGCCATATGTCACAAATGCAGACTCCCTTATCAGAAAACTCAGCTGGACCAGTCTAGGACCTGTCCCTAACTTCATGTATATTAAATTTGATCATTTGTCATGACCCCACATTAAACTGAAGTTAATTCTCCATTCCTTTTTGTAATTTTAATGCTTTCAGTTACTAAAAATTCCGCCCCTGGAAAAAATTCTGCTCGGGTCCAGTGGGCAGTTGATGTCCAGGTCTAACCTTTTACCCTCTAATGACCAGGGGGGAATTCCAAGCAGACAGCAGACACAGTAAGAGACAGTGGATAAATGAGGTGGTCAATTCAACAAAAAAAAATGTGCATGTTTTATTACTGAGCATGTCTTCACAGTGGGCCTTTGAGACCTGCCCCGCCCTCCTGATTGAGGCGTCATATCAGCTTACTTGTGGCCAGCATTGAATAAAGGGATGAGTGTGTTCACAGTTTTGTTGCTAATATATTTATGAGCTGATCTATTTTAATCACTAACAGCTCATCCTTTAGAGTTTATTGGCATTAAAGTAAAAGAAACCCTCTCATCCTAAATTACAAGGATAAAGAACCATTTCTATACAAAAAATTTTGTCCTCATTTTGTATCATCCTAATGCAGAAGACATACCTACATATACTAGTAGCATGCTTACTTTCATTTTTTTTCTTGTAAATTTAAATTTGTCTGTTACTTGACATTTTAGACTTTATACAAACGTACCTAAAATAGTTAACAATAACAACTTGTGCAACCAGCTGGTTTTTAAAAATAATTTAGTCTTTTCAAAGAGCAGCACTCTCAAAATAAATAGTCCTTTCTTTCTACTCAATCTAAATGAAGTTTTATAACCACTTATATACTTGTCTTTGCATGTGTCAGTCTAACTGCCAGGGCCATCTGTGACAAACAAATCACTTCACATCAAACATCCAGACAAAAACATGTGAGAAAGTATCCAAAATGTCCTCTTCTCATGATGAGCTCAGCTATGTCTGCCCTAACTTGGACTCTTTCTCTTAGCTAATGCAGCTCGTCATGCTTGCTCTTACATTCAGGAGAATATTTCACTTCTGACTGCTGCTTCAAAGTTATTTATTAACATATATATATATATATATATATGAATACAAATAAATAGGTATATATAGATATATATACATATCACCTTTGTTTCCCTTTACCACAAATGTCCATGATTTATCAAGTCAAAACAAATATTATTTTTACTCATCAGGAGTCCACTCAGGTAACACAAAACATTTCTATCAATCATTTCTGCTCTGGTATCATGCAGTTCCTTTCATAAAGTGGAACCTACTTTCAAAGTTAAATGGAACCTTTGTTTATTAACATTTGCCAGGCACCAAATTAAATTCTACCTTAATTTTTTTTCTTTTTTCTATTTTTATCTGGGAGTTGTACATCAAGCACCTCCATTTCAGTTTAAAAGATTCCCACTTTGCCTATTGTTTAAAATATTAGCAAGCACAAAAAATAATACAATTCTTGCTTCTGTAAATGCTAGTCGTATTACATACTCAATCACGTATATAAAGCCCTAACTCTTAATAAATAAGTTACATAACTGTCACTCAAAATGGCTGACAATAACACGCCTGCCTTGCAGAGTGACACCTTCTACAGCCATCTGACACCTGATCTCCACAATGGTTGATCAATCCTGGCTTCAGATGGCATGTATTTTAAGAATAAAACTGGCTTGTACTGAGGTCTAAATATATATATGATGATAATGTAATTTTTGCTGAAGCAGGCAAGTCTCAGATAACAGTTTGACATGAAGTGGAACATTATCCTTCATATTATTTAAGTTTAGCTGTGGAGGCACAGGTCCACAAGCATTTTTTTTTGGGGGGGGGGGGGTGCAATGTTTAAAAGAAGTGTCCTTTTGGGTGACAAAGATTCAACCAACGTCATTTTGGTAAAAAAAAAAAAGGTGCACTATTTCTGAAAAAGAACCCCCTCTTTTGAAATTGTTGACTTATTGCAACCATGTGCATATTTCCATCATCTACCTTTCCTCAACAACACTAGTACAAAACTGCATTTCATTATGCCAATCAATTTTCATTCATCACTGTCGAAGTCATTAACTATGCCGACTGTCAGCTCAAAGAGAATGTACAAATCAGTCCTTTAAGATGTCACAGTAACAAAATAGGCTCTAACTCCATAGCAGGGAGCTATAAATGACACAAAATTATTACCTTTAAGCAAAAGAATTAAGTCTTCAATATAAGTGTGTCCCATAATAAGTACTAAACAGAAAATATATACCAAAGTAAAACTTACCCTGCAGACAGTTAAGCAGCAATTATCACTGCAACAAATCACAGGTAAATAATGATGAAGGTATGATGTCAGTAATGTCAGCTGGTGTTACAGTGACACTGTCTATAAAAACGTCAACTTGCTCAATTCCTACTCTAAAATACGTCTCCAGTGGTAGGTGTGGTTCAGCAGGTAAACCCCAGTCTTCAGCCTGGCCGCTAATAGCCCTTGTTTGGACTGTACTCCCAGTCTGTCACAGCAGAGCATCTAAACAGAGCTCAATGCAACTATTGAATCTTCGCCTCACACTGCGCATGCCTGCCTCGGCTTTGTTGACCTATGCAGCGCTGGCTTTTCTTTCAATAAATATGCCAGGTATTTCATACACAATACAACTTTCACTGGGCCTCAATTTAGGCGAGACCAACCAATCAATAAAGAGTAGTTATGCAGCATTCTGAACCTAGCAGATATGATTATTGGCAAAATCAATGATACCTATATCAGAGTAGGTGTGTTTACACTACATACATCTTAAAACTATTAGGTTTTTATAAAAACACAACTTGAAGGATCAAATCTTTATCATTTCTACTGATCTTGATCATGAGAGGGGAAATAATTGTAGTTCTGATTCTGGTTGACAGGTGTCTCCCCTGCAGTCTTACCTGGACTGGGTGTTGCCTCAGTCAGCAAGGATTTGTGTTCACTTTTGAAGCACCTGGATTCTACCTGCAGATCACACCATATAATCAACACAAAAACATGACCAGGCCACTAAACGGCACCAATCCTTGCCCCTAGCATGGATTTTCTAAATACCAGGCTTCAATTTTAACCAGTTTTTTTTCTAGAATGTATTTTTAAAAAATAATCCTTTTTTTTAAATTCAGACTGCTAGTGAATATATCACATCATGTAACAAGATGATTCCTAAGAAAAATAAAACTCGCTTAAAATGCCATTAGAAGTCACCACGTCCTGACAAAAAAAAAAAAAAAATGAAAAAAAAAATGTTGGAGGGTATGCTGCACATAATGAATCATCAGAAATATTTGTCCTGTGTACTGAAATATATAATGGGTTAAAGCTTTGAAATGCTACCTGCCCCCTGCCCCCTGTTGCAGCCGTTTTGTCATCAAAGAATTATGAGGTTGATTTATCTGAGATGAGATCTAAGGAATGGAGTCCACACACACAATGAAGTGCATATTTCACCTGCTGTCACCGACCAACAGGTTTGTCATATGACGTGTGACAAGACCTGAAGATTTCTGTCAGCTAGCTACAGGCAGTATTCAAGGGTAAATGAATATCTACCATAATCCAGACAATTATCACAAGTCTTTTAATTAATTAATGACCTACAAACTGAATTGCAAGATGCCACTGGAATATGTATTTACAGTAATCAAAACAAGAAGAGAAACGAAATGGAAAGCAGGATACATATCCCCAGGAGCATAATCAATATTAAGATGATGACTAAAGGACTCAAAAATAAACAACACATTTAACATATCATGTGAATATCTATACAGTCATCAAACTAAGGCCAAGAGGTCAAAGTACAGTTTGCCTAACAAATGCATCTTTTTAAACAAGGTGAATACGAAGTTTTAATATCCAGACAGCAGCTGTATGTTCTTTACCCTGAAACCCTTTCTTAGAGTATTATCATACTTTTACAGCAGATGGCAGCAATTTGTCTTCACATCTAACATTGAAAATTATAATTTCTGAACTAAATTTTGGATTATATGTGATGCAATGCTAGATTTGGAAGTAGTTTTTCTTTTTCTATTAAGTTTTTTTTTTTTTTTTTTGTAAAATAATAAAATGGTTTCAGAAAGCTTTACCATCTGCTGTCAAATCTTCAATTGCTCAATGTGGCATTTTTTAAAGAATATCACACTGTATAAAATCAAATCTCATCTGACCTAAAATAAACAAAAACATTATGCATCTCATGTGTTCTGAGACAAGGGTACCTGCAATAGATACATTTATATAAACTAACATTTGGCAATGATGAGTTATACTGTGCTGAATATCATCTTATTGTGGTCATCTTTATCTAAAGAAAACACTGAGAATATATGTGTCTTACTGAAATACAATCTTACTAAATTACACAAATAACATGAAATCTTATGTTGAAAGCAATATGTAAAACAAGGATGTGTTACAATTATATTAAATCAGCACAGTAAATGATCAATAACAAATTACTAGTATCAATAATAGTTGCTTCATCTATAAATGGTTTGTCAAGCCTCGAATATATGACAGCAGCAAAACTTTACATCATTTTTTTATCTTTTAATGAAAAAGAGAAAAGACCGAGTTTACTTACAATACCAGCGATGGGCGTTGGCAACCGGTTGATACGCCTCACACTCCCTGGACGAAGACAATTCAGTAACCTGTCAAATTATAAAAAACTTACAAGATTGATCATGTTTCGTGACTGCTGTTGACAAATGCATTTCATAGGTGCAGAAAATTTATTACATCAAAAAATAGCATCAATGGCTAAAAGGGCAGGGAGGGGGGGTTGCATGACACAGCAGAAGAACCAAGGCAAGGCATGTTCTACAATCTGGTTCTCACCCCCACCTGGTTCTCAACTTCAGCTAAATCTTTAGTATATATTCCTGATAAATAGTAACATTTCTTTCTTTTATAAATGGAAGAACTGAATTCCTACATCGTGATGGTGGCAGCGGGGTCATATGTCTGAAATACCATTGATACTGACAATGAGATTTCCTGCTGCTTTATTTTTTGATATCAAAATGATATTGTTATCACAATTTTCTTTTTATAATAGTATCTGTATCAAAATACTGTAAATTCACATGCTGGATTCAATTTTCCAGTGTCACATTACAATAACTTTCAATTTGAATGCTGTACCAAAATACTTTGAACTCTGAGTTTAATACCCAGTGTAGCATTACTGTAATAATATACTTGTAAAATATATATGATATCTGCAGACCTGCATAAGATTTACATATAAAAAAGATACCATATTGAGAAATGTAAAGGACAAATTCTTCATTTAGTAATAAAGCAACTTCAATACTTGATTAATATGCCATGTTTAAAAAGCATCAAACAAGCAATGAATATCCATTCTAATACTACATTTCTTGCACCTTTTACAATAGAATAATTCTGCAGATTTGACACTGAGTATATGTTCATTTTTTTTCAATATCTTTCCTTTGACAAGTTATGACTTCCCATAGCTTGACAATAGCTCACCAATTCCAAATTTTTTAAATCAAATTTAAGATCATACTACAGATAGATGTAATTCATCGAAAAAAAAAAAGCTTTTATAAAAGAAACTTGCTATTCATTTCATAGCCAATGTGTGTATTTTCAGCCAACTATGGAAAGATTGGGCAATTCAGTATTACAAATTGGTAATGTTTTTCCTTTGGTTATTTTTGTGACACCATCATTGTTTGGAGATAAACAAAGATTCAACCCCAAAGATACATATTTCACTACTGGAGTACACCCCTCTGTATACAACCATACATTTCAGAGCCTGGCTAATAAGACCCCATTAGTGTCAAAAAAACTGACACCCCTCAGGTCGCATTCCAGGCAGATCTTAAATTTTGAAAAAGATACCTACTTTATTTATGAAACCAGACACCACTTGACATCAGAATCCAAAATAAATTTTAGGTTGTGATGATTATAATTTTATGACTAATCCACACAGTGCTAGATCATTGATCAATGATCATTTCTGCTATGATATACTTTTATAATCCTTCCAACTGCAAGGCACAACAGACCAGAATATGATGACTCTTTAAATATCTTACTAGAAGAAGAATTTAAATTGGTTTCCTGAAGTTTTCATTTTTTTTCTCTTTCATGTGTTTTTCTTTTTCTGGTTTCTTAATAGGACATCCTGAAATCAAGCTTTTTCTAAACAAAAAAAAAAAAACACTTTTGACACTTGTTTATATTACATACATTTTGTATATTTATGTGTGTGTGTGGGGGGGGGGTCAAAATATGACTACAGGCAAAGTTTAAAGAACAATTTCACACTGACTAACGGATGACACATGAAGATAATGTCACCTACCAAGGTCACCAAATTAAATGCTTTAAGTCAAAAAATTTAAAAGGACATATTATCCTTTATGTTCTATTCTATGTTGCCCCCTGGGGGTGAAACCCAATACTATCATTAGATTAGCAGGAAAAATAACTGAGTGCTATGGAAAAAGAGATATGTCTTAGGGACAAACGTATCACCTTGTCACAAAAAATGTATAATGGCATTTAATTAATAGTAAGGTTAGTCTTCATGTTTGCCCATAAGAAATAAACCACTGTTTCTAAACATACTTGACATGTTTGATAGCTTGACAAAGAAATGGATGTGCCAATGTGTGACACTTCAAAACAATCAGACTAGGATTGGGATTTAGAACTAAAAAAGAAACTTTACTCTGAAACTTTTTTTAAATTATTTAAATAATTCCTATCAAAAGTTCTTCAAATCTTTGAATAAATGATAAAAAGTAGTTTCTAAGAAGACTATACAGGTTATCTGTCTGAGAAGCAGACATTTTGACTTACCATCAAGGAGACCTGATCTGACAACTTTCATTTTTTATACAAGAAATAAGTCTCTTTAGAGACAGTTTCATGATTTGTACAACAGGCAATGAAAAAACTATTTCATCTTTTCTGAATACAATATTTTCTTTTTTCCCATAATCAACCACAGAAAAACATTTGAAAGGATTGTTTAAACTACCTACAGGTGTATGTAGAAAATGATTGTGCCTGGTGAGACAATGGTGAGATTGCTGTAGTTGAGACCCCATTTCCCAACCAGCTAATCTGAACTATCAATGCTCAGATAGACTTGGGCAAAATTATAAGTAAAAAAAAATTCAAAATTGTATGTTGATCATATTTCAGTGAGGCTACAATTGAATTATTCATAAGTAATTGAAAACTTGAATCTCATTTTGTAAGACTTACTCGCAAAGAAGTACTCCATTTTCTAAGGACTTCCTGGGATCATCTGGATAAGCAAACTTCTTTCTTGTAACAGCCTGTAATGTAGCAAAACAAGTAAATTTATTCATTCAATATAAATATTAAATACAAAACTAAACCTTTGAACTCAATTCTGATAAAGGAGGAAAATTCTTTACATTCATTTAAAAACTATACTCCAAAACAATTTTTAACTATTTTCATAAAAAAAAAAAACATATCTTCAAAAATCTCTTTTTCTCCTATTTAAGGAAACTACAACTATTCTTCTGTTGGTTTTTCCTTTTACCTGAAACTCACTTTTCAAGAGATGAAAACACAGGCCTTGATACTGATCTTTAATAGCAGTAGCCTAAACAAAATGCACATCAAAATAAATCTTCTCCTTAAACATTATCAGTTTTGAGATCAAATAATAAACACAGATTAAGTGCTGGCATTTGATAATAAGCAAACTCAGACTCACTGTAGCAAAAAAAAAGATGAAATATTTATCTGGGCATCAGGTATACTCTGAGAACACTTTCCCCTAAATTGGATCGCCTTTAGTGCTTATTTTAAAGCAGACTTGCACCTGATGGCAAATCTGCTGTTTAGACAGGTGAAGATTTCTGAGTGAGTTACATAGAAAATAATGAACCCTTTCTATCTTATTTAGAGAGAAATTCTTATAGCATAGGAGCTGAGGTGTGTACTATATCTTGTCTGTAGGTTTCTGACATTTAGAAACCCATCTATGGGCAAAAGTTTACTTATTTCTTTTCAAAGCATCTCTCTCCTCATCATGTTTAGCTTCTAATATGCTTATTATTATTTGTGGTTTAGTAACAGAGTTATGCCGAAGAAAGTAAGAATGGATTACAGAATCATTCAAGAAAAAATTTAAAGAGGTATGCTTTCAATAGGAAATTTAGAAATGAAAGCCACCAAAGTTAGGGAAATTTGCTACGTTACCCAAGCCTTCTACAAAATAAACATTAAAATTTCAGTTGAAACTTTATATAGTCTGCATACAGCCTCTGCTATGTTTAACTTTAATTAGTTAATAAAAACTGGAACCACAGTCTTAGCAACCTGGCTCAACAACAAAATGGTAAACAAATAACAGCGAAGGTTGTGTTGCATATTTTTCTCCTTACTCATTTTTTTCTCTAATAAATACACCTATCTGAATAATGGTACAAGAACCTGTTAGTCATGCAAGGTGGCAAGTCCGTAACATTCAGTGACACAAAATTCTAACGAGGATGTCACTCACAGTGTAATAGGACATGTTGTGTAACCTTAATGGAGCTCTGTTCTAATTTTTTCTCTCTTTTCTCACTTTTTTCTCTCTTTTGCCTTGTGTTCCCTATATGATGCATGACTGGTAGTGTGCGAAGTTGCATTCTTACATAACTGAGTATATGGGAAGAGAAAAACACACTGAAATATCAACATTTAACAAGATGACGGAGCATTTAAGTTACTCATTTAAAACAATGTTACATACTACATGCATCCAAGATAACAGGTAGCAGCCAAAATAAACCAAATTACAATTGGTACTGTTATAATCACATGACCTTCAATTCATGCCATGTGTAAAACATTTTAACTAATGTACTTAAAAAAAAACATTGAAAACATTTCTAAAAATCACCCACAGAGACTTTTTAAGGTAAATTTTAGAAATTTAATTCAAAAGGAAAAAAATCTGGAAAACATATTCCAAAAGGGCATTCTCAATTAAAATTGCGCAGTTGACATTAGGCATTAAGGGTAAAAATACAGGAAATGCAATAAAAATCTATTTTAAGTGTTTCATCAAATACCTCATACCAGTTTTTCCCATATGTCTTTCCAAATTGGAGGGTTCTTGCTAAATGCTATTTTTGCCCTCATAGTTATTGTTATAATACTATCTCTGTGTCAGGTCACTGCCATGACAAAATCAAGCACCCCACACAAATTTTAGGACAAAAATCATTTGCTATCACAAACATGGCAATGTGCTGTGCAGGGCCACATGAATAAATAAACATGATTTTTAAAAATCTTATCTATTGTCATCCTCACTGCTAAAAGACATATGTCATTAGACAGTTTGACTAAATAGCTAAAGTCTGTGGAGATAGGTTGCAATCAACTAGACTTGAAACATTCCTTAAGTTTCAATAATAACGCACTTCAGTAACCACAGTAATGTATATGAAATATCTCTCATACTGCCTCCAGAATAATCTCCATTTCATTGTTTTTATATGTATACACAGACATATATACATGGATGTGTAAGCCTACTACACATAACTGTACTTTTACAATCTACTTTGTTATTGCATATTCATGGCCATAAATGTTTAATCATTTCCTGAAGTAATTAAAGTCCAATGAATTTATCAACAGGAAGGACAATAAGGCACTGATAATAGATATGTAAGGCTATCACAGACCTGTTTGTGGTTACACAGTGTTGATAAATAAGACAACCTGGAATCCATGTGACAGCAATACAGGGTAATGATGTAGTTAAATGAAGGCAATTACAGCACACACACACACACACACACACACACACACACACACTAATGTACTAAATATCATGGATTCTCTCAACAGTAATAAAAGTACTTGGTGTCAAAATTGCCTTTTGAAATATTAGGAAGACTACGGTGGTCTAAATGAATTATGACTTGTATTAAATAGTTATTAAATTGCAAAGATAGGTTGTCAAAGCAATGATTTATGAAAAGGAGAAAACTGGCGCAAAAACCCTTTTATGGAGAAGCTTTGGTAACACCTGATACTTTTTAATATAATTCCAACAAACATTAAACATTAAACCTCAACTCTCTACCATCAAACTAATATAACTGGTTTGAAAAAACCAGATAATATATAAGCCTCCATATAACAATAAACACTAAAATATATGTACACATTCCTTGCCTGTGCCAGTAAATACAGTAAGTCTAAAATGTCTAGAATGCAGCTAAAAGGCCCAATCAAAAGCTCAACCTCAATCAGTGAAAATCTGTTTACCAGTAATGATATAAAGAAGAGTGACTTAAAACAATCAGCATTAAAGATTCAGACACATGAATGCACTAGTTCACACTTGGTGATCAACTTTCTACTGAAAACTCACCTTACCCGGATCAACTGATTACCAGATTAGAAAGAGACAATAGAACCTTTCTACAGGTATAATCTAGATTTAGGATGATACAAGAACTAGTAAGGCTAATTGTACTAGTGTCAAGAGGACAAACAGCTTAAACTGGTTAACAGCTAAATAATAATGTATGGGAAAAGTGATCTGAGTTATAACCTGCATGTACTCTGCTGCATTTTAGTATAGGTAAAGTTAGTGCACTATAGTTTGTAAAAAAAAAAAGTTCCACAAATTTGAAAAAGGTTCTGAAGCATGTGGAATCGTATGAAAACATACTGGAACCCATGCACTGGTATGCATACAAGCATACATACAAATGTGCATTCACTCACACACACACACACACACACACACACACACACACTATGCTATGCTATTAATAGCTGGTGTGAATTAAGCACCTGTCTGGAAGTGAAGAAGAGCACAGGGAGAAGACATACAGCTGTACCCAAGACACTTTACAGACTAAAATAGTTCAACCTATTAGGAAGAAGACATCCAATCTCCTGGATATGATGTGATAGGATGTCTGACTTTCCATCATGTTCCTCATACTTGCCTAACCTCTGTTGTAATTTAATCACCTTCTTGGAATACAGACAACTGGGAAGACCTTAAAATGGCATATCTTATCCCTATCACTACACTTCAGTTCAGCCTATAAAAGTACCCTGCGTTTCAAAGAACTGGCGCCGACTCTTTCAACTTTCTACCATAGTTTCAGCCAACTACAGCAGATAGGTTATAAAAGGTGGCCTGTTATCCACCTAAGGCAAAGGCTACACTGATCAATAGGACTCATGAGACATAAAATATATATTAATTCTCTATTTATTAAAGTACAAAAACTTTTATAATGACTCTGATCAAACAAATATATTAACCTATAAAGACAGTATTTATTTAGACCAAATTAACAATTTCAAAACAAGTTTACAGATAGATTGTGGTATAACATCACAGCAGTTGCCCCCACAATCTTAAGAGTTAGCTGCACATGAACCATCAGCTATTATCAGTACACCACTGCTGTTTTCAGTTACAATGGCAGTAACAGTAAGTTACTGGAATTATCAAAGGCCATCTGTTAACTCTGAAATTCAGGGTATGATCTATGAAGCAATAAGGACTATCTTTTTATACATACACCCAAAGATGGAGACTATAAGAGAGCAGAAAGTTAGATGGTTAGTGTGAACATAACTGATGATCAAATACATCTAAAATATTAATCAATTAACTTCTCACTGTTATATCTTATTGTATAAGTCTTGTTGACAAACATTTCAATGCCCATTCAAGTTGACAAACTACCCAATTTACGTGTGTACGCATGCCAACAAAAGTGCTGCTTAAACTGAGAGTCAATATTGCCAAATACTGTAATAATCATATAAGAGTTATGGATTAAACATTAAATGGTGAGTCATTCAATATACCTTATAAGTTTATAGACCGATTTCTTGAATCATCATCTTCCCTCTACCATACCTCCTCATGAAAAAATTTATAAATTGTATTGAACAAGCAAAGAGAAACACTGTGTAATATTAACACACTTATGTTCTATGTTTTTTATAACACTTCCTTGTGAATTACAAAGAAGTGTAGGAGGCCTCTTTCAGTTCCTGAATCTGCACCATATTCCTTCATAGAGAGATTCTTCTGAAAAAGCAGAAGAATCTTGACATTTCAAAAGATGAACTTAGTTGGGTTATTTCACTTTCAAGCCCTCTATTGTCACAACCCCTTATGCACACAAGAGAAGGGCAAATTTGGTTTTCACATATCTGAGCATATCCCAAAGCATTTTTTATCTGGCCTTAATAATTCTGACCTACACTACAAGAACATATAAGACAGTATAAAAGAGGTATTTGCCCCAAAACATCACAGGGT